GTTATTTTCTATAATTAGTTTATTTTTAGTGTTTTTTCATTTTTGCTAAAAAATAACAAAAAAGTTGAAGAATAGAAGATTCAATTCTGTTTTATTTTTATTATTTCATCTTTTATGATTTGGATTTTCATGTTTTATTTTTGTTTTATCTTTATGTTTGTTAAGAAATGACTCTAGCACCATACTAAAAGAACAATGTTCTAAAATGATTGTGTTATAAATGAACTCTTTGATACAAATAGGTTATAATGAAGAAATTGAAATATTCACCTCTCAAAGTTCATAAAATTGAATAGTGGATAATATCAAATAATTGATTTTTTTTCATTAAAAACAGTTTTTTAAAAAATCAAGAAAAAAAAATGAAAAGAAGTTTCCACCATATAAAAGTGAAGTATTAAATAAATTAAATTTGAAGTAAATTTACTATTATTATATTATTTTGATATATTAAGCATTAATTTAAACAGTAAGAAATGATCTACATATAAATCAATATGGATAATCAACAACTTACACAAGAAATCCTAGAAATGAAATCTGAGATTGAAGTTCTAAAGAACGAAATAAAAAGACTAAAAGAAGAAAAAGAGTTGGAGAAAACCAATAACCAAATCAAAGAAGTTTTTGAACTTTCTGCATTTGATGAAATAGAATGGAATAACAAAGTAAAACAAGAAATTTCAAATCAGGAGACAATAGAGTCTGAGTTAAAAAGATATGTTACATTTAATAATACAACAAATGTTAACCAATTTTCTAAACAAAAATCTGTTATAAATTCAATTGGATCAAAACCTTATATTGAACTATCAACTCCTTTTGAAAAAAATAAGAAAATTATCCCAATTTGTATTGACAAAAGAAAGTACCAAATAATGAGTACTCTTATTGAATATATTGAAGTTAAAGTTAAAGGAAAAAAACCAGTTATATCAATTGGTGTTGTAGAAAATGAAAATATTGATAGAAATGCTCATGTTGGATGGAATAATGGAACAGTAGGATTTCATTCTGACGATGGAAAGTTATTTAATGAAAATGGGAATGGAGTAATATTTAATGAACCTTATAAAGCAAGTGATGTCATTGGATGTGGATATATTCATGAAATTAATTGTCTTTTTTACACAAGAAATGGGATGTTAATAAAAATTATTCCATTGAGTTGTGAAATGAATTATTTTGGTATTGGATTGAGAGAGTATGAAACTGTAACTATTAACTCTGGTAAAACACCTTTTGTGTTTGACTTATTTAAATTTAATGAAGAATTAACAAACAAAACATCAAAATATTTTAAAAGTATTACACTTAATAGTATGTTATTCAGTTTTGTTGTTACAGCAAATATTTATTTTAGTATTGAAGACATTAAACAATTGATTTCTAAAATAATTCAAGCAAAAGTTAACCAACAGGATATTAAACAAGAAGTTCCAACTGATTTTTTTACTTACGAAGAAAAGTTTTGGAATGAACTTTCTGATACAACAGATTTACAGTACCCAGAACTTTCAAAAAGAATATCATTTGACTCAGTAAAGTCTTGCTCACTACTAAAAGACATTGACTCCCACAATCAAACAATTGTTGTAAGAATAAGTTCATACTCACAATATTTAGTAAAAAGAAGGTCTGAAATGGAAACAAGGATATATGTAAAAAAACCAGTAATTTTACTGTACGATGATACAACTAAAGAGAAAGAAGAGTTTTGTTGTCATTTAGAATTGAATGATGCAATAGATATTGGTACTACTTACCCAAGTCCAAAAGTCATCAAGGAAGATAGTGACAAGAAAGAGTATGAATGGAAAGGAACTTATTGTAGTGATGGAGTATCAAACTGTGTAATTGAAATAAATAATAAACATTTTGATTATTTATTCTGGGAAGGTATTTGTCTGAAGAAAGAACAATTCAAAGGAAAAGAAGTTGGAATAACAAAAGAAAATATGACTAATGAATTAGAAGTATTGTTAAAGAAATTAGGAATGAATGAGAGAGAAATCAATGACTTTATTGTTTATTGGATTGTAAAATTAAATAAGAAGTATTACAAAGTTACAATTTGTGATTCAACATATGACAATGAAATTGCACGATTGAAAATAACTGGATTTAATCAAATTCATAGAATAGCATTAAAATTTGAAGAAGTTGAAAGTATTAATACTCTCCCAACAATTGATAGTGTTGAAGAAAGACAAAGACCAACAGGAAAGTATGTCATTGAATGGGGAGCAATTATTGCTTAGTCTATTGGTAACTTCAATTATTTGAATTGAAATTGATAGACAAACTTCTAATTAAAAAATTAAAATCACGTTTATCTTTTTTATTTAGATAATATTTGAGTTATAAAGTATTGATTTTCTTTATAGTCAATTCCAAAAAGCATTTGAAAAATACGAGAATATCGCTCTTCAAAATTAGTTTTATTAAGTTTTGTTTTCAAAGATAATGGAATTACAATACTATTAAATACATCTGAATTCATTAAACTTAATTGTTTGATTAATATTACTATCATATCAACATCATTTTTTTGTTGTAATTTTGGTAATAAGAAGAATCGTTTACAACTTATCATTCGAATAATACAAAGAATAAAGTCAAATGTATTTTCATAATTAATAAAACAATAATTAAAAACATGACCTAACATTTCAAATAATTTTTGTTTCATTTCAAAAAATTTATTATATGGTGTACTTTCAATATAAAGAATTCTTTCAAGAAGTTTATAACCAAAACTTCTTAAAAGATGTTCAACAAATAAATTAAGTTCTTTTTTACGGGTTATAATAGAAATATTAATAAGTTCAATAATATTAATAATTAATATTTCATTTAAATTTTCATTTTCTAATTCTGTTTCAATTGTGAATTTTAGAATATTCATAACTTTAATAATTTCTTCTTTTTTAATTAATTTAATATTCATTTTTAAAATACAAATTGCTTCATTTTTAATATTAGAATTATAATGAGTTAGTCCAATTAAACAATTTTGAAGAATAATATTCATTTTAGTATTTCTTTCTTTATTTTTTTTTCTTTCTTCTTTATTTGACTTTATTGGAATTTGGTTATTATTTATTCCAATTATGTTAAGCATTGAGTTAATATTCATTGAAATATTTTCATTAATAATTGGTCCTTCATTTAATTTATAAATACTTTCTATAAGAAGAGAAGGATATTTTTTTAAGATATTTTTAATTAAAATAAATAAATAATATATCCATTCATCATTATCTATCATTATTGGTAAATTCTGATTTACTTTCTCCATTAATTCATTACATAATTCTTCACTTAATTCATTTGTTTCATTAATGAATATATTAATAATTTGTAATTCTTTAATATCACTCCAATTATAATTACTTAAAACTTTAATAACTTCTTGAATTTTTATTTTCTTTTTATTTTCTTGAATAATTTCTTTCATTTCTTGTATATTTTGATAATCAAGAAGAATTGAAATGATTTGTTCGGAACTAATTATTTTCTTTGAACAAAGTAATTCTTTTGCATTTCTTTTAAATTTACTTTTTATTATTTCTTCTATAATTTGATCTTTTATTTCTTCATTATTTTCTTTTCCTTTAGAAATGAGAATTTCAATAACTTTCTGTTCAATTTCTCTATTCAATTTACTATCTTCTTTGATTATTACATTACTTCCTTTTCTTCTATTTAACACACTAATTAATTTATCACTTCTTTGATTAAATTCAATAATCTCGTCAATAATTCTTCTTTCAACATCTTCCTGAAACAATAAGAGAGATTCATTTCTTTCAAAAATAATAACTTCTATAGCACCAATTATTTGACTTGAAATAATTACTTGACTTTTAATTATTTCATCTTTCCAAGAAATAGCAACTAATTGGTTTAATAATTCTCTTCCTTTATACCTAATATCAGAATCTTGTTTTTGTTCCTCAATTTTATCTTCTACTTTTTCATTAATCCAATTAATAATTGAATTACTAATAGCTATCATATCATTTAATATACATTCTACTATTTCATTTTTATCGTTTACATCTAATTGTATTATCATTTCTGGATTAGCTTTAACTCCAACTTCTTTCAATTGTTTAATTGTTTGTTTCATTGAATGTCCTAAAGACTTTATTAGTTCAAAACAAAATTCTCCAACCTTATTTGGTTGTAACTTCCATTTTTGAATAAACCATTTATTAATAATAATTTCTAATCTATGATAATTAGTTGATGAAATATAATTAAAACTTTTTATAATGATAGTTTTAATAATTTTCATACATTCTATGACTTGTTCACTTCTTCCATTATTTCTAATAACCTCAAATTGAGAAACAATTCCTGGTATTATTTCTCCACTTTTTTCATTACTTAATGAATCAATTAATCGTTGAATAACTTTTGTAATTCTAAAAAATATTGAAAGTGAAAGTTTTTCAAATGACTGAAGAATTTCAAGTAATTTAGATAATATTAAAATTACAACATTTTCTTTTTCTTTAAATAATTCAATTGGAAGTTCTTCTAAAATTTCAATTGGTAATTCAATTTGAGTTTCAATAGAAATTCCTTGTTTAAGAGTAATTCCTTTTAAAACATTGGCAACTTGTTCAATAATTTCATTCATCCTTTTGATATTTTACAGTTCTGTTGTTCTTTTTTAAAAAAAAGAAAACTAATAAAAATTAATAATCAATCCTCCTGCATTAATTTATGTTCTTTTATTTCTTCTTTCATTTCTTTTTCTTCTTGTAGACCTTGTGGCTCTGAACTTGAAATTTCTCCTACTTTAATTCCATATAATAAATACCCTCCATTAGAATCCATTAAAACATTTGGATGAGTTCTATTTGGTAATACCTGTATTGTTCGTGTAAATGGTTCAATAACATCTGCATAAACAATACATTTCTTTTTCCATAAATAATCAAACAATCGAGCTAATTTATCAAGGTATTGGCAATAAACAACAAGAGACCCTGATTTCTTCAATGAAGGGAATAATGTTTTAACAGTTTCAAATGGTTCAACATCAGTTACAATAATTAATGAATTTACTTGTGGAAGAACATCAACGTTATATTTAAATGAAGTATAATGTAATAATTTTTCTTGTACTGAATATTTCTGACAGTCATCTGTTGGACTCTCAGAAAAATGAGGTGCTAATACTGTAGCAAGACTGTATTGTTCTCCACTATATTTTACAGTATAAACTTTGACATTTGGTGTTACAGCTCTCAATACACTTCCAAGAATTAGTCCATTACAATTTTCCATAATTCCAACACTTTCACGTAAGTCAGAATGAAACATGATATATGATAACATATCTTCTCTTACTCGTCCAGCCTTAAAATTTCCTTTTAAATTATAATAGTCACAAACATTAATTGGAGATGCTTCTAATATTTGAAATGTAGCAACATGTTTTCCAATTTTCTTTTTAATATATTTTTCTTGACTAAATGCAGTTTTTCCTTCATAAGTGTCTGAATGAGATAATAATTCTTTAATAATTTCTTCACCACTTAACCCATTTTGTTTCATTTCAACAATTTGTTGATCAGTTAATTGTTGATTTGAATTTGAGTCTTGTAAATTACGATTATCTTTTGTAATTGTTCCATCATTAATACAAAATTCAGCAACTAATTCATCAGGTGATTTACCATCAACAAAAATATTATCTTTAACTTCAACCCATTGCCCAAATGATTTTCCAATTAATGAGTCAACTTGAACTTCTTTTTTAGCAAAACGTTTTTTAACTCCTTCTTTCACTTCAACAATTGTCATAATTTCATCCCTTTTTAATATGCAATAATCACCAAGTTGAATAGTGGACCTTAATGAAGTAGTGGTACTCATCAATTTACCTTATTACAATAATTTTTTATTTTTCATTTATTTTTTAAAAAACCCTTTTTTTTTTCTTTAAAGTAGCTTTTTCACTTTATTAATCTCCTTTTCATTTTTATTGTTTCTCTTTCATAAGTTATATCATAATCAAATCATAATCATGTCATTATTACCTTTTCAACCAAACTCAATTGTCTTAGATTCAATACTCTATGAGTTTTCTTTCAGATATTCAAAATAATGATCAAATAATAAGAAAAAAATGGACATCTGAACCAATATTATCCAAAAGATCAGACATCAACAAACGACTATTGCCTCAAAAAAAGTTTAAACGTTTTGATTCTGCAGAATATTTAATGGAAAAGTATGAACAAAAAAAACAAAAAAGACAAGAATAATAACAAATATTAAAGAAATTAATTTAAGATTTGTTAATGTTCAAAAACATTTGTTTTATTTACAAGATAAACAAAAAAGAAAATAAAGATAGATTATCAATTAAAAACGTCTACAAGGAAGAAAGAAATACAAAATATGATAAAATAAGAAAAATATATTTTTAGTTAAAAACTAAATTTTGTTATTTATTTTTTTATAAAGAATGATATATTTTTAACAAATAGAATAAAAGGTATGAAAAAGAAGAAACAAGTAGTAAATAACTGACATTAGATTATATAAAATAATTACCATAAAGAGAAAGAGTATTATATTCATAATTAAGATAAACAAATAATAATGTTTAAGTTTTGTTATTTAATAAAAATAAAATCAAATAAATACAATTTGATTACAAACGATTTTTATTTTACATTTTATTAAAACCACCGAAAAGGAAAATATTTTAGAAAGTGCCACAAATCAATACTAAAATCAGGATATTTCTAATTAAAAAGTGACAGTTCCATAATTATAGTAACTAAATGATAATGAAATGGTAATGAATCTATTGAACTTCATAATAAATAAATTTTAAGTTCACTTCCATCTAAATATAAATTGGGTTGAAGATCTTATTATTATTCATTAAATGTCAATTTCTATCTCATTACCTATTCTAGATAAACTCCTTAATGACCAATTTGGTACATTACAACAAGTCAGTACATTGACACCTCAAGAAATGGCTGTTCATAAAGCACTTATCTCAGGAGGTGATCAATGTTATAAGATTATTCAATATTATTCATTAAAATGTGTTCTTATTGATAAATCAGAAGCTATTCCTAAAGTAAGTATCGTTAATGAACCAGAATTTAAAATTACTGAAGGATCTATTTTAACTATCCATCAAAATCATCTGAATGCTTTGATTACAGGAAATGGTAGAAATGATTTAATGTTTTATAAAATTGCTCTTGATCAATTAAGT